ACCATCAATAATCCCCGACCTTCCCAATTATGATGTTAAAGAATCCTCCTTCTTCACAACATGGGAACAATTCTACGATAGAATCTTCAGCATCAACCACCTACACGAAGCAGGCCCATTCCCCACCGTCCGCCAATTCCACGACTGGTTCACATCTTCTTCCCCGACGACGGATGTCGGATCCATACTCTGTGCCCATAGAAGCATACCGCTATGGTCTTCCATACCACTGTGCCATCAAATTCACGCATGGCGATCTCCATCGCAGTAACCCATCCTCGTCACATCATCTCCTCCATACCGTGTAATGGCAATCATCGACTAGGAGCAATCCAGCTAGCTGCCTGCATACTGGGGAAGTGCGCAAAGCGCAAATGGTAGCTTGGAGTGGTTAGGAATGGGCATCTGTCTATCTTCCCATGATTCTGGATGGATTTGAGAATACTGTGGATTCATGGTGGTGGTATATAGCCGCTTTGGGACCTTGACTAGTTTATTTCACTTGATGCATATATATCAGTATATCCAGTTAAGTTGATAGCAATAAATAGACAGACAGACTACTTATCTATGTCTGTCACCAACAAGCAAAGTACTAACTAGATCAAGATACCCTTACTCGATGCTGCCTGAGGCTCATTTGGGGTTTCTGGGACTGCTTGTGGCAACACAGATGAGTGACTTGAATTCGACGAGGCTTACAGTTGACGTAGGTGAAAATGCATGTAGATCGCCTGTTCTTGACATCTACTACGGTGTGTACATGTACCGTACGGGCTACTCAATGTATAATAACTGGTTTCAAACAAAAAAATGAATTCATGACATTATGTACATACAGTCTGATCTATCACACCACTCTCCTGTTTTACAACTTGGCCTTGGCACCCTCCAACAGCTCGGCTCCAGCCCCCGTGATGGCAGGCTTGCCGGTGTCTACCACCGTGGTCTGGAAGATGACCACATTGCCCTCCTTCCACATCTCCGTGCGGAGGGTCTGACCGGGCAGCACCACACCAGAGAAGCGGACCTTAAGGTTCTTGAAGGCACCGTAGGTGCTGAACACATGCTTGCCAGAGACACCCAGCGAGCAGAGACCGTGCAGGATAGGGGTCTTGAAGCCACCGACCTTGCTGAACTCGGGGTCGATGTGCAGAGGGTTTCGGTCACCGTTGAGGCGGTAGAGAGCGGCCTGGTCTTCCGAGGTCTTCTCCTCGACAACCGCATCGGGCTTGCGCTGAGGGGCCTTGTAGGGCGCCACGGCGGCCTTGGGGCGGGGGGCAGTGGGCTTGGGCGATCCGCCGAAGCCGCCACTGCCACGGATGAAGACGGTCGACTCGTTGTAGAAGAGATCCTCGCCGGTCTTCGCGTCCTTGGTGGTGTAGCCGGAGACGACGAGGGCGGCGTTGCCCTTGTCCACGACATCGATGAGCTTGGGGTAGGTCAAGGTCTTGGCGGCGGTGGGAATGGGGAACTTGCGGACCTCCATGTACTGCTCGCCATGCAGCAACATCATGGGGGAGAAGTTGGCGACAATATCATCCATGTTCCAGGGGTTGGCGGTGTTGAACCAAGGGATCACACCGTATGTGGGCAGAGCCTGGAAGTGCTCGTTGTTCTCGTACACCAAGGGAAGATCGGTGCGCTTAGCGCCGACACTGAGGTTGTAGAGGATGATATCCCGGTCCTCGTAGTCGAAGGAGGTTCCGTCAGTGGTGGCCTGCTTGGCCTTCTCGATGGCCTGGAGGATGTTGTTGCCACCCTCCGAGTCACCGCCGCTGCGGTTGCTCATGTTGGCCATGATCTTCTCCGAACCGGCCTGGCCATCCTCAGGGTGGTCCGCACGGCCATCGTCGAAGTTGGTGATCTTCTGCCAGTGCTTGAGCACTTCCTCAGGGGTAAGCTTGACGTCGACGGGGAATCCGTGACCGCCGGTACGCTGCCAGCGAGTGCGGCCGAACCAGCCGCTGCCACACTCGTACAGACCCTTGGTGCTGGGCTCAGGCACGATGTCTGAGCACAGAAGAGCCACCAGGGGAGCAACGTAGTCAGGCTTGAACGCCTGGACCATCTCCTCGGGCATGATGGTACGGGTCATGTTGGTACCAGCATTGGGGGCAATGGTGTTGACCTTAATGTTGTATTTAGCACCCTCAAGAGCAAGAGTGCGGGAGAAACCAAGGATTCCGAGTTTCTAAGACAATTAGTGAAAGACGCTAGAAAATCAGTATTGGCAGAAACATACCGCGGCGGCATAGTTGGCCTGGCCAAAGTTTCCGTAGATACCGCTGGTGCTGGCCGTGTTGACAATGCGGCCATACTTCTGCTTGAGCATGTAGGGCCAGGCAGCCTTGGTCACCTTGTAGGTGCCGCGCAGGTGGACATTGAGGACAGGGTTCCACAGGTCGTCGTTCATGTTGGTGAAAGCCTTGTCACGCAAGATACCAGCGTTGTTGATCAGGATATCAATACGGCCAAAGGCATCGATGGCAGTCTTGACGACATTCTCGCCATCTTCGCAAGATGCCTTGTTGCCAACAGCCTGGCCGCCCATCTTCTTGATCTCCTGGACCACGGGCTCGGGGTCGACGAGATCGTTCACAACGACGGCAGCGCCATATTTGGCAAAGAGCAGACAGTAGGCACGACCGAGACTATGAGGACGTTAGAATCGACAGATAGCCATCATTTATCTGCAGTAATACATACCCGTTGCCACCACCAGTGACCAGAGCAACCTTGCCCTTGAAGTTGGGCTCCTCACCCGCTTGGGCGCTGGGCAACTTCAAGCCATCCTCCAAGAGACCCATAAAGTCAGCGGGTCCGGTGGGGTAGTCCGGCTTGGAGAAGTCGTTGACATCGTTCCACTTCCGAGCAATAGCACCGGGCGTCAAAGAAGCATCGGTCTTCAGAAGAGCACCCTTGGCACGTTCCCAGCGCAGCTTAGCGACATGTCCACCACCGACTTCGTAGATTCCACCAGTCTCAGTAGTGTTGGATGAGTGGACCAAAGCAGCCACCAATGGGACAACCCAGTCGGGCTTGAGGTTCTCCAGGACCTCGGGGGGCATGACGGTGGCCGTCATACGGCTAGCAGCTGTTTCACATTAGCCACTGCATTTCCAGGGGAGCCTAATCAACATACCAATTGGCGCAATGACGTTCGCAATGATGTTGTACTTGGCACCTTCCTTCGCCAGCGTCTCGGTGAAGCCGACCTGTCCCAGTTTGGCAGCTTATATATAGTCAGCAGCAGCTCCTAAACTCCGAGCATACCCAAGCTTACCAGAGTAATTCGCCTGGCCGAAGCTACCGAACAGACCAGCTGAAGAAGCAGTGTTGATGATGCGGCCATACTTTTGTTTCCGGAAGTGAGGCCATGCGGCTCTTGCGCACTGTAGACAAAGCCTCGCGTCAGCAACCACGTGAAGGCAGAGGCGAACGCATCCTGCCTACCTTGTATGCGCCATATGTGTGCACTCTGTAGATAAGGTCCCAGTCCTGGTCTTTCATGTTCTTGAAACTGATATCCCGGAGGATACCGGCGTTGTTAAGAAGGACATCGATGCGGCCAAAGTTCTTGATGGCGGTTTCAATGATGGCTTCGCCGTTCTCGACACTGTCGTAGTTTGCTACCGCCTTGCCGCCAGCAGCTCTGATTTCATCGACAACCATATCGGCAGCCTAGAAGAGACACCCGGAGTCAGCGGGATTCGACAAAGGGCGTTGGGGAAAGAGTCTGTGTAAGCATAGACACAACCTACCTTGGCCGACTTGCCCTCACCAGAATGAGAGCCACCCAGGTCGTTGACAACAACGTTTGCACCTCTTGAGGCAAAGAAGAGGGCATATGCCTTACCCAGGCCACCACCAGCACCGGTGACAACCACGGTCTGGTTGTCGAAGCGCAGCTCAGACATGTTGAATAATCAATGTGAGGAGGAGAGGGAGGGGAGGTGGAGAGATGGGGAAATTAGAGGGAGAGGACAGAAATGCGAAATGAGGAGAAGAGACGGGGTATTATATGAAAGTTTAGTTGGAGAGAGAGAGGAGAAGCTTAAGGGATTTGGTCTGGGGGAGGGAAAGAGATGAAGAATCCGGGGGAAGAGGACGGTCGCAATGCTCGGCAAGCTGGACCAGGGAACCTCGGCATCTTTCACAGGTGAAGCTCGGAGGTTTGATCGTTTGGCGCTAAACCGATCGGGGGGTGGCAGATGATGCTGCCTTCACATGCCGATGTCCCCTTCCACGATAATTATTCTACGGCATGATTAGTATACACACTAACTAACTACGAAATTATTGAAGCAAGGTATTTCTCCCATGGTTATTCATTCTACAAAATTGGTGTCTTCGAACTTTCCTCAATTTCCACCCGGTTGCCAAGATACTCCGAAACTATTATCCCGGTTATGTTGACTGACACCTTTCTTTTTCTCCCTATATGTGACTATCTTACGGACTATCACCAAGTCGATGTTCTTCATACGATCCAAGTAGACTTGTTCAGTCTGAAAAGGAACTAACTATATAAGAATGACCTAGATCGACAACTCTGATCATGTCTGCCACCACCAACATCACCGACTTCCTGCTGACTCAGACATGTGATTCTCAGCCAACGTCATGCCACGTGCTGCTACTCCCTTTATCCTTTTCACATTAATCTCAAAAGTCAATAACATTCATGCCTGCCAGATACTATTCATGAAACATACAGCAACTTTCTATGGACTACCAAGTGGTGCAGTATGCCCATAGAGATGATGCCGGCCTATCCTTCAGGCAATACATTTGTCCTCCGCAGAATCACCCGCTCGGATCACCTCCGAAGCTTAGTCTACCTTAAGCAGTATATATCACTGTAGCCACCGGAATATACTACCTACGCATAAAACAAATCTATTAGTACTACCTCATTCTCCCATAAAAGCACTAAATAAGATACAATCCCCCACAATGCCCGAAATATTCGACGACAAATCCCAACACTGCATCCCCTTCCTTCTGGAACGACTCCAGGCCCACCAAGCCCGCCATCCCACCAACACCCCGCCTTTCTTCCTCGGTCTAAATGGCGTGCAAGGGGCCGGTAAAACAGTCCTGGTATGACCCCTTCCTCTTAATAATAATTACGCTCAAATGCCTTTCAAGGAGGTGAAGAAACAATTCAGTTTACTAACAATCAGATCAAATGGGGACAAAAAGGTCTCAACCCTCCAATCCACCCTCCGCTCCCCACCCTACTCCCTCAACGTGGTAACCCTCTCCCTCGACGACCTATACCTCACGCACTCGCAACAAGAACACCTCGCCGCCTCGCACCCCTCTAATCCGCTCCTTCAGCATCGCGGACAACCCGGCACCCATGACCTGACACTAGCGAAGGAAGTGTTCTCGGCGTTGCGCGCGGGCCAGCGTACCGCGGTCCCGGCGTACGATAAGTCAGCGTTTTCGGGACAGGGCGACCGCGTGCCTGCGTCTCAGTGGGAGGTAGTGAATAAGGAGGGTGAGGAGAAGGTGAAAGTGGTGATTTTTGAGGGGTGGTGTGTTGGGTTTCGCGCGTGGGATGAGGAGGTGCTGAAGAGGAAGTGGGAGGATGCGGTTAGATTGAAGGAAGCCGCTGCTGCTGGCCAGGGTGAGTATAAGGGGAGATTGGGACACGTGGAGTTTGAGGATGTCAAGACGGTTAATGAGGCGTTGAGGGGGTATGATGTGATTACTGAGTAAGTTTGCTCGGTCGCTATTGAGAGATGGCAGCTAATGATGGTGGTGATTGCAGTCAGTTGGATGCGTTGATTCATATGTGAGTGGCTTATGCCAGCTTCTAAAGAGTTTTATCTCGAGATGCTAATTGATAATGCAGCGATGCGCAAGACCTCCATTTCGTCTATGACTGGCGACAGGAGCAAGAGAGGACCCTTCGCGCTGCAAAGGGGACTGGTATGACGGAGGAACAGGTTAATAAGTTTGTTGATGGCTGTGAGTAGCATTTCTGGGCCAAATAGTATTATCCAGATGGGAAAATTCTGACTGAAAATACAGACTATCCCTCCTATGAACTCTTCACTGAAACTCTCCGGGAGGGTACGTTCAAGCCTGTCCCTCATGCTACTACAGCATCTGCTCCACCGACAGGCTGGGAGGGGAGACAGCTTCGATTAGTTGTGGATAAGAATAGAAGAGTGCAGGAGGTTATCAACATATGAGTGCTGGATATCTATTTCTGCGTTCTTGAAGTCCGAATGGTAGAGGTTTAGATGTATATATATTGACACAGATAGATCATCTACTACTATACACTCTGGTACTAGTACCAAGCGTTATCTCTTCACCAAATTAGAAACAGACTTGAACCAAGCCAATACTTACATAGTGTGTAAAAGAAAGAAAGGATATTACGCTAATGGTATACTATATAGTAGAACGCCATATTACTGTTCTCCGTGGTATGAGTACCATCAGTGGAAGCAATATATACCACCACAACCCTCCCTCATACTATAGATCCACAACTCGTACCGCCCCCCAACTAAAAGAACTACAAGAAAATAGAACCCAAGATAATAAGTAATCCAATCAAATTTCCAACTCCAATTCGACAACATCATACAATATTGTCCCTCACTGACTGGCGACCATTTTCTGCCACCCTACTCAAAGGCGGTATAAAAGTATACAGAATTCAGACTCACTTTTTCGGGGCTGTACAGAATATATGAGGTGACAGTTGTTTGCTTTTTTCCAGCACCCACAAACACAGCAGCGGTTGTCTATGTACTGGGTAGTACACAGTAAAAGACTTCTTTTTGAGGCTGGTTGAGGGCGGGGATCCTACAGGATGGAAACTACATTTCAACTACAAAGGAATCAAGTCAGGTTGTACGAAGCTTTTAAATTTTTGTAACCCAGATTTTAGACCAGTACCCGCTAACTAGGAAATTTCGGAGCTCATAACAACCCGGTACGGACAAGCCCATCACCGATGATGATGAATCTAGTTCATCTGGCGGATGAGGCCGTTGATGTTCTCCTCACGGTTACCGTAGTCACCACCCTCGATGAAGTGCTTGAACTTGCGGGTGTGGAAACCACCAGTGGGGTTGGAGAGCTTGAAGGGCCACAGGAAGTTGTTGGCCTGCTTGAAGTTGGGGCCGACGGTGTAGATCTCGTGGATCAGATCCTCCATGCAGACAATGCCGTACTTGCCGAGGTTCTCCTCAATGATCTGGTTGTCAGTGAGGGGAACACGCTGCTTGTCGACCTTTCCGTAACCGCGCTTGTAGACGAGCTCACGGACGGACTTGAGGTTGGGGTAACCGTAGGCGATGTAGGGGTTGATGATGGTCAACATCTCCTGGGTAGCCTTGGTAAGACGGACGAAAGTACCGTTGTTGATCTGGAGCAGACGGAGCAGCTGGAGGATCTTGCGGGGCTGGGGAGGGATCTTGTTGATACTATAGAGCTGTTAATATCGTGTAATGCTGACATAGTGATGATGGTTTAACTTACCCCTTGATACGGATAACGAAGACAAGCTTGGGCTCGTCAGCAACGTAGAAGTTACCCTCCTTGCGAGCAACGCGGGCAAGGCGGATCTTCTCGCGCTCAGCATCGCGGTACTCCTTGACGTAGGACTCGGCACGCTTGAAGATGACGGCGCGCTTCTCCTTGTTGGCCTGGATTCATCTGTTAGCAGATGGTCTTGACAAATGACTTGTGAAAATAAAAATCATTTGAAGCTTCTTTTTCAGCCCCGAAAGATGGTTAACGAAGCGACAGCATCGACCGTAGTCTAGTCGCGTAGTGGTTGTTGTCATCACTATAGAAGGAAGAGGGAAAGGCAATAGAAAAAAAATTGGTATAACTTACGGCCTTCTTCTTCTCGGCCTCCTCACGGGCGACAGCGCGAGCCTGCTCCTGGCTCTTGCGCTTCTTCAGGAGGGTCTCGGGAACGAGAACCTGCTCCTTGGTGGGGACAGTGCTGTTAAGGTCAGTACAGTCTGTCCGCAGTGATTACACAGACTTTCGCCGAGTGTAAGAATTGCAGCTATAGTGCCACATTCTCATACTGAAGGCAATGGATAAAAAAAGCACTCGACGACATCCATTTGATCGGTGAGGTTGAAGAAAAAATTTTTTTTCTTCTTCACTTGTGGAGCCCGCGCGGGCCAGCTCACTACTAGTCACGCATTTTCAGCAGCAACCTTCGCAAGCCGGCGGCGACTCCAAGCAAGTATGATAATCCTCATCCGACAAAACCCCAAGCATAACGCTCGGGAAGTGGTGTTGACGCTTTTCGCCCCATACCATGCCCTATCACGGCGCAATGGTAGAATACGATAGCTCACAACAATTGTTTTCAAGGAGAAGGTTCACAGTGCCTTCAACCTCAATACCCCAGACCGTGCCGAAACCCAATCCTCATATTCCTAACGAAGTCTTAGGCGATTCAGGGGCGAGGCTCGGTCGCGGGAAAAATCGAGCTGGTGCTCAGCAACCGTTTTCAGGCCGCAGCATCTCCAGCGAGAAAGGACGACTATATCTGTAACCCTCACAAGCACCTCGAGCGATCAGCCGCAGGGGAATCTCAAAGGGAGTCTCACGTAGCAGTGGAGGCCATTGTGACGGTCCGTAGAGTTCGCGAGTTGGGCGATTGGCGAAGGCTGTCGTACTGGAAGAAGATCAAAAGGAAGAAAAAAGCCGCTGCGAATCGAGAAAAATGGGTTGTGTGGGTGGATACCCCCGCTAAGCCGCATACGGCTAGCCGCACTGACCAGCCCATTTGTTCCTTTTGGAATTATTCCAGCCCTTATCGCTATCAGGGTATCCGCTGGTCAGGTGATAGTTACTGATAAGAGCCAGTGGCAGTATGACAGCATCTATCTGGCGCTCTCGTGGTTACCCCACGCGCTCCGATAATTGAACCCTCCTCAAGAAGCAGACACTTGATCGCCATGGCTACTCGTCGAGGAGTTGGTCTTGGCGCATTCGCCAATCGCACTCAAGCCAGCCAGTCATTTGCGAATCATGGCGCCAACCTACGCTCCTCGCATCTCTCCTCTCTACAGACGCAACTGTCCGTATTCCAGTCATTGCTCCACACCTTCGCGCTAGAACACAGCTCCACGATCAAGTCGAACCCGACGTTTAGAGCGGAGTTTGCCCGCATGTGCAATGCTATTGGAGTCGATCCCCTTGCAGCCAGCAATGTCAAAGGAAAGAATGCGCGCAAAGGGCTAGGGGAGATTGGCAGCTTCTGGACACAGATCATGGGCGGGGACATGAACGACTTCTACTTTGAGGTAGCTGTTAGAGTGGTGGAACTTTGTCGCGCTACCCGGAGCGAAAACGGCGGGTTAATAGGTGTTGAGGAGTGTCGGAAACGAGTAGGCAAGGGCAAGGCTATTGGTAGTGGACTGGAGGTTACGGAGTACGTACTCACTCACCCTTTGCTCGAGCCATAACGAGTGGCACAGTAGCTGACATGCGTTATGCAGTGACGATGTTCTCCGAGCTGTCAAGAGTTTGGAACCGTTGGGCTCTGGATTCTCGATTGTACATGTCGGCAGCAAGCAATATATTCGATCGATTCCCAAAGAGCTAAACACCGATCAGGCTACAGTCCTCGAAGCTATTCAGGTCCTTGGCTATGTAAGCATCTCTATGCTTCAAGCGAATCTGAATTGGGAGAAGGCTCGGGCACAGACCGTCATTGATGATCTACTGGCGGATGGCCTTGTCTGGCTAGATGCCCAAGCGGAGGAAAACGAGTATTGGTCACCTCAAAACCTGCTTGATGACAGTGGATGAGCATACTTTGTTGAAGGCTACTACTCTTTGATATCATGATATATTCAGTGACAATCTTGGGCGTTGGGGCTGGCGCAAGTGTCCAGCAGGTACTGGATGCAAGGAGATATATACTAATCGTTGCTCTTGTCTGGGAACATACTAAGAATGGAAGGGACATGCAGAGTTCCAAAATGAAATGGCTTTCTTCCGAGGCTGCTATGGATTCCTCTTTGTCATGTTAAATATATCATACTCAAGCCTGCTGAGAATCGTGACTGGTGGACTATAAGAGGGTGCCAAAGCCACCACCCTAGCGTATCTTTGTTCTACTTGATTTCAGAGCATCTACGACCTGTACATATAAGTAAAGTGTTAGCGTGCATTGATTTTCAACCTTTGATACACAATCTAGACTTTTCAGGCTCTGTATGTCCATCGTTCATTCCAAACGTGATATTCATCTGCGGAGAGTAAAAATACGGTATGCATGACAGTAGGAGAACTCTAAGTAGAAAGGGCTAGAGTGGCCCAACGGGAAAGAAAAAGTTGAAGAAAAAAGGAACCATGATGGGTAAGAGCACACATGGAATCATACGCAGTTTAAATTCCAAGAAAAGGGAGCATTAGAACCATGAAAAAAGAAATCAATGCCATTAGAAATCATTTTTATGCCTTGATCGCTCCGCCCAATGCACCACCGCCAAACTGCTGTCCACCAGGCCGACGCCCTTGTTGGCCACCAGGGAATCTGGGACCACCACGGGCTTGGCCAGCACCTCGAGGACCACGGCCACCACGGGCGCCGGCGCCCTGATCGCGCTGGAAGGCGTTGGCCATGCCTTGCGTACGCTGCTCGAGAGTCTTCTCGTTGGACTCCAGAAGGTTCATCGACTTGTCGGCGAGGGTAACGATCTGGGACTGGAGACGGGACAGCTCAACACCCTTGCGGAAAACAATGGCGTCGTTGACCTGGTCGAGAGCAGCGGCCAGTTCCTCGTGAGAGATCATACGGCTGATGATAGCGGCGATCTTCTTCTCGGGGAGCTCGAACATGGTAGACAGGGTGGAGATGGAGAGGCTGTCGTAGAAGGGGGCGTAGGTGAAGAGGTAAGTGCGGAGACCCTCCTCCTGGATCTGCTGGGACAGCATCTCCTTGACCTTGTCGGGCTGGGGCATCAGATCCCAGATCTTGATCGAGTTGAGCATCTCAGCGGCCTTCTTCCAGTCACCAGCGGCGAGGAACTTGGCACTCATGATGACACCATCACGGGTGTTCTCAGCGGGACCAGTGAAGACCTGGCGCTCGTTGTAGTCCAGCATACGACGGAAGGTCTTGGAGATGACACGACGCTTCATCTCGGGGGAGGAAGAAGTCTGAGCCATCAGAGGAACCTCCAGGAACATGCTCGACGTGAGGTAGATGCACTCGAGGAGCTCCAGGTTGATGTGCATGTGGAAGGGCAGCTGACGCTGACGCTCCAGACGCTCCTGTTCAGGCGAGACGGTGGAGTAGCGCTGGAGGATGATACCCTGAGCCAACAGCTCTTTCTGACGTCCACTGCCGCAGACCTCGGAGAGGGTGTTCTGGGCCTCGTAGATCAGGCCAGCACGGAAGGCACACAGACCGATCTGAACAAGGGTGCGGTTGAAGAGGATTTGGGTGGAAACGTCGAAGTTGGCAATGTTCTCGGTAAGGTGGGACATGAGCATCAGGTCACGAGAGCGGTAGTACTGGTCGTGCAGAGCAAGGAAGTAGATCTGGCACAGCATGGCACGAGCACGGATGATACCGTCGCTGTGCTTGAACAGGTAGCTGCAAAGGGTCTGCACAAGGTTGGTCACATCGCCGGTGTTGCCACGAGGAGTGATGTTGGTGTCCAGCTCGGAGGGAAGGACCTTCCAGGTACCCTCCTCCAGGATCGTGACGACCTGGGAAGGCTTGAAGTAGATGTGCTCCAGTCTCCTCATGACCACGCGGTTAAGGCTGTCCTGGCGGGGATCGGTCTTCTCGGACTGAGTAAGACCCTCAACGTAGGCCTGGGTGCGGACAAGGTTGGCGTACAGCTGCTTCTCGTCACCCAGACGGTCGATGTACTCGGCAGTGTGGGGGTCGATGTGCTGCAGGGAACGGGTGAGCTCATCATCCAGTCTCTCGACATACGAGACGATGCTGCCGGGGATGTGAAGGACCTCGCCGGGGGCGGGGGTGGGCTGCTTCTCATCATCCTCCCACTCCTCAGCACCCTCGGTCACGACATAGGTGCGGTTGTTCTCGAGAACGGACAGAAGGGTAGCGAACTCCTGCTCGGCGAATTTCCACTGATCGACGGCCATGTAGTTGCTGGTGGAGGAAGAGGTGAGATCGAAGCGGGTGGAGATCATGGTCAAGTAGATGCGGATACGCTGGTAAGGGGTCTGAGCAACCTCCAGCAGCTTCTCCATCGTGCGGATCTGCTCCAGACGGTCGGTGTTCTTCTTTCCGCGGGACTCAACGATAACACGGAGGTGCTTCAGGATGCTCTCGGGGGTGTACTGGAGGGTCTTGCCGCCACGGCCGACGGTTGCGAAACCATCGTCATCACCGGCGGTGGAAAGAACAGGGGCTTCGATACGCTCGATCTTGGTCAGGCGAGGGGCGGCGGCGACGGGACGGGCCACTTCCTCCTTGGCTTCCATGAAGCCATCCTTGTTCTGCCTGTACTTGTCGATCTGAACGGCGTAGTCCTTGTTGTTCTTCTTGATACGCTGCTTAACGGCGTTGAATCCCTTGGCGTTGCTGGCGTTCATCTTCTTGTTGCTCGACTTCTGCTTCGAGATGGTCTCGTTGACGAAATCCTCCAGGTCCGCAACAGTCTTGACGTAGATCTTGGGGGTGGGGCCAGACTGGACAATCTTGACGATTTGACGGTTCAGCTTGTCGAACTCTAGAAAACGGATGTTAGTATGAAAAACCCATCCTTCCCTCCGCTGCCGATTCCGTAATTCCATCCTCTGATATCAGGGCCAAACGCACCTGTCGAGATGACCGCCCAATCGCTGATCTTCTCGGCATTTTCGATCAACTTGACGGTGTTTTCGAGTTCCTCCAACCGCTTGTCCTTGGCACTCTTGACAATAGTTACTCGTTCCTCATCTTCGCTCTCTTCGCTTTCGGAGACATTCTTCATGAAACGGTTCGCACCGGTCTTGCCGGCATCCTCGTCATCGGACGAGGACTCCTCCTCCTCCTCAGTCTCCTCCTCGCTGGACTCCTCCTCGGACTGCTCCTCCTCCTCGCGATCACTGTAGAGCTCCTCCTCGTCAGAGGAGCTGGACTCGCTGTCGCTACCGCCACCGTAGAAGAAACGCGACATGTTTGCGGATATTATTCAAACGCTGGAGATCGGGAAAGTCGCGGAAATCGAGGAACGCCGGTCTCAGTCGTCGCCGGGGGGATAACACGCAGGTTGGTAAGGCGGATCGGGCTGGTTCTTTTGCCTGGCAGGAAAATCCGTTGTGAGGGTTCCGAGCCGCAGAGGTTGGGCGGCGCGAGTCACACACGAAATTTAAGCGAGGCGGCGCCTAACCACAACAGGCAGGCGGCCAGCCTCCGGGACGCGGATGCCTTTGTTCTTTTTCCCCTCTCAACTCCAGATCTCAATGGATTTAGTTTTATTTACTTTCACTAATGGGACCCTGCCAGATCAAGATCCACGGCCTACATACATTGCGGAGATTCGGGCGCAGAGGCCAGACGAAACTATAGCGTTCTCCCGGCTTATTGGAGTTCCACCACGCTTCCCGTGTTCGATTTGTCGCCTTCGTTCACTTCACCCGCCAATCTACTACTACCACACCACACCCACTCCCCCCCGTGGGGAAGAGAAAATGAGCAAGCAGCCTAGTTTTCCAGCCCATCTAAACTCGGGCCTCATATAACTCATATTTTACTATCCAAGTTACAGTCATGTTGCTCTTTGAATCGTGCAAAAAGGGACGGAACTAACAAAAAGGACATGTCTTGCATAGCACATAACAGGTGGGATCTCCGTGCAAATATTTGGGTAGAAGGAAATGAAAATTCAAGAATCAACATAAATCACCTCTTTCCGAGTACTCCTGGCTATGCCGAAAACAGCCACATACAGGAACCTAGGAGAATTGACAGGGGAAAAGGAGTAAATGAGGGATGAGCATTGGGAAGCACTGCAGCGCTCAACTATGGGAAAAGGAGCACCTGTCCACCGTAGCGTGCTGCTGTAGCTTGACGAGCAGGCCATCCGTGTTCGCCGCCACGGCGGAGGTCTGAAGTTTAAAAATATCCCTTGGGAACTTATGCTGCCTGTCACGTAGGGGACTTTTATCTGTCCCATGCCTAACAACAAGGCGAACCGGCTGTCACAGGACTTTCATGGAGACAGAACTCACACGTACCAAGGACCTATTCAGGTCTCGAGGAAAGCTGATGGTAATGAGCTTAAAACCAAGCAGGCTCTCAAATACCAGGAAGGAGGCCATTTGAATGTAGCCCTGCGTCTAGCTTCTGGCGATGGACGCGTAAAGGAGCACACATTTGCCTATACAGAAGAGAAAATGGCTTGTCCGTCAGGCCGATGAACATCCATGTGCCATCGGCCTGTTCCTGGGTATGCATGCTCTCAATGCCACTGGTTTTGGCCCATAAAGCCTTCGCCTCCCAATACCCCATCCTCAAGGGTTCGAATGAAGTCGCGGTTTCTCGTACCGCCCGTACGGCTTCCTCGTCGCCTCTGACCAGCGGAGTTGGGGTCGACATATCCATCTGGAGGTGGTGGATAATATGCCGGACTAGGCTGTAACCGAATAGGTGCATTGGGATCGAGGTGGCTGGCCACGCGCTGGATTGTTGGCGGGATACCTCCCCCCTGAGGGTCCATGGTAGATGCCCGTTGCCGCCCAGCCCTTGTCGTTGCTTGCGCGTAGAGGCTCTGGGATGGCGCGTACTGTGCTTGGGGCACTTGGCCGGGTATGAGATTCATCTGATGACCGTAGGCCGGTGGCTGAGTAGGGTAGGGCGGAGGGGCACCTTGCTGGTGACCAGTGAACATTCCATTGTACATTGGCGGCGGCTGGGCATGCGTGGGTGTGTGGAACTGATTCAACTGCATAGCGTAGGCATTCTGTGCGGCTGACTGGGCGTGGGCTGCTTGTGCGGCCCTCTGCTTGCTGGCAGCTTCTGCCTGCTGCTGCTGTTGAATTCCAGGAGCAACAGTCTTGTTCAGCGATGAGTACTTCAGGTTCATCGGAGGCATGAAAGGCCCCGTGAACTTCTGTTGCGTGATAAAAGGATGCAGTTTGGCCTGTTGGGGCGACCAACGTTCAAGGGGATTGATGGCCAACAAGCCACGAACGAAGTCAATGAAAGCTACCCGGTTGTTCAATTCTAATGATAATGGTTAGCAGATGTATGTATGGGCGTATCGAATATAACCTACCTCGTTCAATCTCTGCTTGTTTCATATTCTTTCTCGGCATCGGGTAGCTGCGGATGATTTCTTCCAGGGTCGACGCTTGGAAGTACTTTTTGCTTGGCTGCTCTTTCGTGTTGTGCTCCCGAGAGTATTGCTCTAGACTCTTAAGGCGATATGTCTTGCGACCAAACTCGTCCTGAGTCTTCTCGAAGAATTCACCTGACTGCTTGCCCATCTCCAGCATCCATGTTGGCGGCAGGCCGAGCATTTCCACAATGCGGCAGACTTGGTTGTATTCCGAAGAACCAGGGAAGAGCGGCAACCCTAGAAATAACTCGACGACAATGCAACCGAGAGACCACATGTCTATCGCGGATGAGTAGCTAAAGGTGTGTTAGTTTAGCCGTGCATAGTGAAAGGAATGACATGTCGAGGCCGGGCCTCAGGGATGCGCGTACGGTAAGCCAAGAAGGACCTCTGGTGAGCGGTAGAACCTAGACTGGATATAGGTATAGACTGTCTGTCGCTCGTCACAGGCTGACCCAAAGTCGATGACTTTGATGATGGGGCTCTCGAGACTGCAATGGAGTAAAGTTAGCATAGCAAACTCGAAGGTGTTTGGAAGGGTTGCTGACTTCTTTAGTAGAATATTTTCCGGCTTCAGATCGCAGTGAATCAAGTGTGCCTTATTCAAAAGGCTCAATGCATTCAGAAGTTGCTGAGCAAATACGCGTACTAACGTCGTGCTCAAGCCCCGGAACTGGTTCTGCTTGATCAATTCGTAAAGATTGACGCTCAACAGTTCGAACACCAAGCACAAGTGCTGTCGGTGGATGAAAGTGTCCTTCAAGCGGAGCAAGTGGTGGTCGTCATTTTTATCGTATCTGCTGTTGAGCTGCGATGGTTGTGAGAAATGGTGCGATAAATTCGACCCGCGGAGGTAGGGACGCTTACCAAGTCCAAGACCGACACCTCCATCATACTTTGGTTGAAATACGCAGTCTTGTTCTTGATGACCTTGACAGCTACAACCTCCCCGGTTTTTAGATTTTGGCACTTGACGACTTGACCGAAGGTTCCTTGGCCCAGCACATCAAGGATGAGGTAACGGTTCCTAAACGTGATTAGCTTTGAACCCAGAGAAACTTCAGTGGAGCACGCTTTAGGGCTAGACGTACTTGTGACCGGCTTCCTCACTGCCCAATATGTCGTTAACATAGAGAATGTAGTCACTATCCTCATTATCGTAACCATCGTTTTTCACGCCTTTACTGGGCTTGGTAAGGACACGCCTCGGGTTCCGGGACGATTCATAGTTGAAGCCCGGGTTGCATATTCGATAAGTGGCGGGGAGATGTGTTGTTAACGCTTGCAGAGGCTGTACACATGTTAGCAAATGCCTATCCCGCAGCCTTTGATTTCCGTGTGCTTACGCTGATGAAACCACCATCAGGATTGGCGCGTCTGTAAGGTGGCTGCGCATTCGTGCGTGGTTGAAGTTCCTGGATGGACTTGATCTTCTGGAACTTCGGAACAGGGCCTCGGCCTGGCTGCTGGCTTCCACCGGATATAGACGCAGGGCGCGGTGACCTTCCATCTTGTGCAAATGCGGCGTTGAGCTGCGAGCCCGCCGATGGCGGATAGTACTGATCAGGGCTCATGTCGGTAGGCTGAAGCGGGGGGAGTCTAGGGGGACGTGACGCGGCTGTCGGGAGATGCGTTAGCTGTTATACTTTCAAAATCTGAATACCTCGCAAGCGTTGATACTCACAGGGTGGTGATTGGAACGCCTGAGGAGGCGAGGCGTAGGTTGAACCTCTTGTCGGCGACCGCCGTGGTTGATTCGGCCCGGGCGGGAAAGCATACGAGTTATGCGATTTCCCAGGACTCGCATTGAACGACATGGAAGGAGACAAGGCATTCATAGGAGAGTACCTGCGAGCAGCTGATGACTCTTCGCTTGGGAAGTATTGTGATGACGGTCGGCTATGATGGGTCGGTCTTGTCGTGTACTTGGCCCGGTTGTACGGATCCGCATCCTCCATCGTGGTGTCCGCATCGGTGACATAATCCCGACTACGTGGCGTCGCAGCGGGAGACGAAGCCATCGAGACAGTTCTGGAATTCGCACCGATCGAAGATGGTTTGGCGGTGGTGCCAGGAGACTGGAAGGGTTCGTAGGTGTAGCCCACCGGCGGCTGCGAGTGCTGTGGCTGGGCGCCGTATTTTGAGGCTAGCTGTTGTGGATTAGACGTCAACCCGTTGTTGAACTGCGCGGGATGCCCCATTAAGGGATCCTGGTATGCCTGCCACTGGGAATCCATGGCTTCCTCCTCCCGTATAGCGGCGTCTCGTGAAGGTCAAGTGGGAGATCAGATCAGATCGGACATATGATGATCATTTATCAGTGTCGACAGCGCACATGCACCACGATCGGGGGTTAGATAGTAGCAGCGGGGACGGCAGACGCACGTAGCGCAATCAGGCGGAGACGACGCGGGACACCGGGAAGTGGTGGTGCAAATCGAAAATCGGAGGGGAGACGACACGGAGGAATTGAAGCTAAATTCGAGTTGCGTCGAACCTCATTATTTGAACAGCAGGCTGTTCTAATGATGAGGGTTCAGAAGGGGCGAGAGGGGAGGGAGGCGGCCAGTAGACGGACGGAGTGGGCGGTCGCAATCCACAATGACGGGTGCGACGCAGCAGCCAATATCGATGCGGCGGCTGACACGCGAAGGGGGTTTGGTTGGTTAGGTTTGGGGGAAAGGACGGCGACTGAACCAACTAACTGTTGGAATCCCCAAGGGAAGGATGGGAATCCAGACAGCAAGTTATACAGTCGAGGAGTAGATATGGGTAAGGGGGGGGGGCGGAAATCTGGAAGCAAGTCCAGACGATGGGCACTGAGTGAAACTAGTGCGGAGGGGGGGGGAAAGGGAAGAAGAGAGGGAAGAGAGGGTAAGTTGATTTCAGTTCGTGGAGGTGGAGATACCCTCTGACTCTGACTGACTGTGAGTGAGCACTGAGCAGCAGCGAGATCCGACGGCGGGCCTCA